AAGTTGAGTTGAACAAGATCAAGGTTTTTATTCGATCAGTTCTCAGTTCATCGAATTAATTGATCCAATCGAATTAATCAAGTAAATGTAAAATGGTGAAATTGTAACAAACTCCTTTTTCTTTCTTATAAATTGTGGTAACTAGTGATATAGCAATACCAACAATGAGCATTTGGGATCTGCCTAATTATACGAATTAAGCCCCTGGAGAAAATGAACTTGACATAGAAAATCCTAATCTTGAGAAAATTTTAATATAGTAATCTTTCCGGGTTACAAATGAATGGATCCTAAATGACAAAGAATGATCTCGAACAAGTCCAGATATAGAAACAGTTTTAAGTCAGAAAAACACTAGTGGTCATGAACATGGTGATGGTACCCTCAGGCTTTTTTTCTTAACAATCTGCTCCTCAATCTTCTCTTTCCTTGATTGAGTCTGGGACTTCTATACCTGAGACAGAAACAACGTGTAATAAATAAGCAAGCAAAATATTGGGGAAGGGCTAGAACCAAGCCACAGTTTTTCCTATGGAATTAACCCTTTTTTTTTCCTTTTAATTTGCATTGTTTTTCATGCATTTTTAGATTTAAAATCACGCCACTCTTCACTTTCAATTTCTTGACTTTCAGCTGTCAAAATTCAAAAGCTTAATGACCTTTGGGTCAACTGGGGCACCGATCTGGCTGCATTACTATGTAAATCACATCGTGACCAGCCCAGTCCTGATTACGGTACCAAGCCCACAAGGCATGAGTCTGATTTTTAACCTGTGAGCCACACAAACGATACTCCACTAGTTGGCACTCTTATTACGACTATTCAAAATTGAATACCTTTCTGTATATGTTTCTACATAGTTTAATTTATGCTAGATATTAAATTTCATAATTTAAAATATAATATGATAATATAATATAAAAAAGACATAAAGTTAACATATTAAAATTTTAATAAAAATCATATATGAATTTAACAATTCTTAAAATTTTTATTTTATTTTTCTTATGTAATATTAATTGAAATATGTAATTTTCATATAAAATACAACACAAATATATAAATTATAAATATTTATATTATATTAATATACGAATTGTTAGATATGCTAGATATAACTAATTCCTTAGTATATTTGAAGGCTAGCTAGATTTAATTGGCTACATGAAACTCTGTTAGTATGTCACTACATAAGAAATTCATGGCGTCCAGTAAAAAATTGTAATGATACAAACTGAAACTTCAATGTTGGTGCTCCAATTTTGTAGGCTTTTTTCTTTTTTTTTTTTAAAGGGTAAATCACTTCCTATTTGGAAAACCTTGCTAATTGTTTTTACCAATTCAAGAGTAGCTTTTTAGTCATTCCCAACAGAAACAGATTGTTGACATTTTCATATAGTAGTTGTAAATGACAGTGCAAGTATGGCAATATGTGATTGTGTCACGTATTCATTACCTTTTTCCTTTAAAATCAGTTTATTAAGGTATGCAACGTCAACATTTTTAAATTCCAGTGATCTCCTTCCATATTTGATATAAGATTAAAGTATTTGTATACTTCTTTCTCTCCCACTCCAATCTTGTGACGCTTTCGTTACTGATCACTTTACTTATCTTCTTTCAAAGCATTTGATGTAAGTCGAACGATCTAAGATCTGCTCTAATAACACTTGTCACATAATCATTACCCTCTCCCCTCAAAACCGACTTATCAAGATGTGCAACGCCAATATTTTTAAACCCCAATAATCTCTTTTTCATATCCGATACGAGATTAAAGTACCTTATCTGCTCCTTTTTTACCATTGTAACATGTTATTTAATGTGCATTTGATGTGCATGAATGAGTTTGAGAGAGAGAGAGAGAGAGAGAGAGAGAGAATTGTACCTCAAGAATCCCATAGCCAAAGCTAGTGTCTCTCTATGCACTATATTCAGGCTGTTCATTCCAGCAGAAATTACCAGCTGCCGGTCCTGATGTAAAATTGAATGCACAGAAGCCACCCATAAATCTGTCCGGGGTAGTAGAGGGTTCTGGACAATTACTAGGATCATCAGCATGCTCAAGTGTCAAGTTCTTTTCATTTCCACCGCTACCAACAGTGATATGAACAGGACCACAAGGATCCAAAGTGTAGTTGTACACTCGGTTTGATCTCTCATAGGCATTAACCTGATTCATTGTCAACAAATTTTCCTTTTGTTTTAGTACCCTCTAGTATTCTAAATCAAATAAACTTTACAGTATTGTTTATAACATTTTGTATGGGCTTATCACAGAGATGGTAAACTGATCTTACTTGTCCGTTGAAAACAATGTCGACACCATGCTTACATAGCATTTCTTCCATCTCCACTCTCATACATTCTGCTTCTCTATAATGTTCATTGTAGGTGCTGTACCAGGGAGTGTGCCAAGCAGCTGCCTGCCATGGTGTCACACTTCGGTTGACATTACTCAGGTCTCTTTCGAGCCACTTATACTGATCAGCTGCAACCAAAGAGCAAGATAGTCTCATTATGAGGCAAGTAAACAAGAAGAAAAGAACATGTACAAAATAAGAAAGGATAATGAGGAAAATGGGTGAATTGATGACTTTACATGATTTATCATAGGAAACATATGCACCGAGCATCACAAAATGTATTCCGCCGGTATGAAAAGAATAGTACAATGTGGAGCCACTATTGTTGGATGGAAATGCAAATCGAGAACTGTAAGCGTTGAACATCTGATTATCAGCGTGTTTTTCAATCTCATGATCCCCTTCTATCACCATTGTTGGAACAGTAGCTGTTAGAATCTACATAAACCTGCAAACAATAGCCCAGTTTCATTCCTGATTTTATCTCTAATCCTATAAACAAAATCACAAGATTATATTGTGGACACTAGTTCTCAACAAGGATTTGGTTTTTCTGCATTGGTAAATTCATAAAGAACCACTGAATTTGAAAAGTGGAAAAGAGCCTACCAAAGAGGAAGGCTGCCTACAGTGCAGATCTAGGATATTTTTCTTGAGTATCCACTTATAACATATATAGAACGCTGTTGATGAATTTATCAATTTTGTCCACAGAAAAGGTGTCTAAAGGAAAATTTTTGGTGTGTCAGCGCAAAATTTTCCTTCAAATTTTTTTATTTTCCAATTTTTTGGGTGTCCATTCACACCCGAATCCAAAGCATAAATCCGCCCTTGGCTACCTAAGTTCCATACCTTCCCCGATAGTCCCAACGAGGCTGATATGATTCCTGCAAAGGAGTTTGCGGAGATGAACAAGAGCTACAGTTAGAGAACTTTCCATTTGTAAGATATAAGTCAGCAAAACTTAAATCCCCAATCAACAAAGCAAGATCTGGACGGTTGGCTAGCATGTGACTAATTGTTGTACTTGTGTTATAAGTAAGACCCAGGTCTCCAACCACCGCTACTCTGCTTGGATAGTCTCCAGGCGGGGAACGCATTGTCCTAAAATAATGAACAACACTTATTGCTGGTATAGAAGGATCTCCACATTGATATTCATACAGAGTATCAGGATCCAACGCTGCAGAAAGACATGAGAGTAAAGTGATACTAACTCAAAAGATTCAAGATTCTATGCCCTCATTTGCACCAAATGCACACCTCCCTCTTCCCCATGCATGAAGGACAAATATTATGTAAGAATTTACTAAATGAACCCAAATGTTGTTGTAACTCAACTGAAACCATCAAGAAGTAAAATGTTTGTTTTGATTGACTAATAGAGTTTTAAGTCTGCTTTTGACTGACATTGTTTATGATCATCAATATTCAATCATAGGAATTCTGAATCAATGAGTATGTTAGTGCCACATGAAAACATGTGACACAAAAATTAGAAAATACAGTCCAAAGAAAAAATCAACAATCTTCCATGGTTCAATATGTGATGATCAATCACTCGGTCACAAGGAGCAGATGTCCTGCTATAATTCATATAAGCCCTAACAAACTAGAAACCAAGGTAATGCAAACTGCAAAAGATGACTATGCATGAGAATCCAGTGAAGAACTCAACGCTTCCTGGTTCACAAGAAGCAAAATGAACAGAAGAGAATAGACTACAGCTGATGAACTTTTATTGAAAACCAAAAAAACACTTGAAGAGCAAAAAAAGTGCATAGCTCTAGCGTCAATATGATGGATTATCTGATTCCTGTGACAATAACTCGGTGGATAATTCCAGAAGTGTAGTTTTTTAGGCCTTCATTAGGATGTTCTTGATTGTCAACAAAGGAATTCCCTGTAGCTTGATTATTCCTGCCTGATTTATAGATTCCGTATCGAACAACACTTGCCACACTTTTGAGGATCCAGTGGTTTTATATCATCACCAATTTGATATTCCACTGAAAATTTAGTTCATAAAAAATTAATGAAAAATCAGAAGAAAGCAAATACTATAATCAAATTTGAGGAAGACATGACTCCTGACAGAAAGGCAAATAAAAGAAACCCAAAACTCAGAACAATAAATCAGCATGAAGCATGAAAAAAAAAAACAGTTTTAACACAATGGCACAAGGACTTCGATGACTCAAGAAATTTTGTTTTTCCTGTTTCCTGAAAACAGCTATTTAAATTCGGTAGCAAAACTTGTCTTAAAGCACCATTAACTGATTGGTAATTTGTTAAAATTGAAGTTCTTAATTACGATATTCGGTATTTGAAGTTGCCAAGATTTGATATCCGGTCATTAGAACCAAGAATTAACTATTAGTTAAAAAAAAAAGAGTTCAACAGTCTACCAACCAACCATACAACAGCTATTCGATATCCATAATTGCCATGCCTTTACAAGAACAAATCAGAAAGTAAAAACCAGATAAAAGAACACATAAACAACATACAGCAGATTACAAAAAGGAAAAAGAAAAGTACCTGTGATCCATGTAATCCAAACAGAGCTATAGTGTGAAGAGAGAGTAAGTGAAATTTGTTCAGGCTGAACATTAATCTTTGGCCTTAGCAAAGGATACTTATCAGTTGGCAAGCCAGTCATTTTTCCAAGAATGCTATAGTTTACAGGCACAGTAACTGGCTTGAAAGGTCCTTCAAGGGTTGATGGAAATCCCCCATTAACTACAAATATGAAGCTCAGCAGAATCAAGCAATGTATTAGCCTGTTTAAAATCACCATAGCCAAAACCAGCATGGAAAAAGAAAGAGGCAAAGGTTTCTAAAAAGTCATAGAGAAGATATTGAATAGTCTTTGTACATATAGGTGCAGTATAATTATAAAAAAATTATAAGTTTATAAACAATAAGATATCAACTTTGATTCAACTCCGAATTGTTGTAATCCTTATCATAGTCTAACAAGGAGAAATAATGGGATTTTAATCCTAGCTCTGTTTTATTTTTATTATTGGAGATCATATATTTTATTTTTCTTTTTTTCTATATATATATATATATATATTTAACTGTCCTATCAAATTTAGAAAGTTATTATTTTATTAAATCAATAATGTATCTTTAAATTTAATAATAGTATTTAGCCCCTGAATTTTTTTTAATTATTTTGATAGTAATGACATAAGCTTTTGGGCGGCATTGATGTGTTTGCAGGTAAAGCTCAAATTGAGCCCACTTAGGCCTGCCCATGGATACAAATTATTTTTTAAAAATTAAAATAACAAAAAAGTGACGAGGATTATTATTTAGATAAATCTTTATAGTTTTATTATCTTCAAATAAATTTTTAATTTGAATTTATGTCTAAATAAGTTTTTAATTTTTAATTTTTAATTTGTATCAAGTAAGTACTTAATCTTTAATTTATATCTAAATAAATCTTAAATATAAAATTAATTTTTTCATTTAAAATAAGAATTTATTTAGATACAATAAAAATATAAATGTTTATTTAAGTAAAATAATAAAATTTTAAAAAAATTAATATTTTAACCTTACCTAAAATATGATAGGTAAAATATGATTTGTTTCATGACGAAGATCAAATGGTAATAGATTGATTCTTATTTATCAATGATATCTCACTATCAAGGTAATTGACTGAATCTCATGAAATTATTTCATAAAAATTCATTAATATCTTTTTCAATAATCCACTTTATTTCAATTTTTATTTAATTATTTTTATAATTATTTTTAATTACTATTAAATTAAATTTTGACTAAGTTATCTGTTCATATATATATATATATATATAGAAAGGATGTAATGTTACTCATAAAAGATGATGGTACAACATATTGTCACTTTGATCGGGTCAAATTTATGCATTTACTTCAAAGTAAGAAACTGGAAATTATAATAACGAAATGATCCTTTTGAATCTTTGATTATTGGCTTTTCAATCTTTCTCTATAATTGTGCTTTGGAAGTCTGAGCTCACCCTTTGTGAGAAAACCTTGAAATTACCTGGCAAAGTGAAATATTAAAAGAAAAAAAATGAAAAACAAGTAATCTATTGTCAATCTCTGTGATCAAATGCTAGTAAGTAATGTCATACAATTTATATATGATAACTTAAAATACGATTTAATAATACAACACAAAAATAATATAAAATAAATATGAAAGTAATCCAATTTAAAAGTTCAACAAAAACATATATGAATTTAGTAATAAAAAATATCATATTTTTGTGTCAATTGACTTTGTAATTTTGTGTTTTATATATATTTAACATGAAATAAATACAACATAAATAATTCAATTATCAAATCTAATACAATTTGATAATGACAGAAATTTTCTTTTAGCTCGAATGACTCAAAGCATCTTATCATAAACAATCCATTTGTGCTTAAATATCAGCCGGTTGATTTTGGTGTTTTAAGATGCAATGGATTTGTAAGAGTTGAATATGCATAAGTTTAAAAGATTACCTCTGGTTCAACAGGGCATCTATCAGGTTGCCTCACTATATAAATCACATCACCTGCAGTGCCATAAGCGTCCTGATTGCGGTACCATGTCCACAGAGCATGAGTCTCATTTTTCACCTGAAAAACACTTGCTGATTATGAGTTTGTAATTCAATTTTAAGAACTTCCATTGAAAGAAGCTCTATAAAGTTTCTGCAGTATACCTCTAGAATTCCATGGCCAAAGCTGCTTTCTCTGTATGCACTATAATCAGGCTGCCTGTCCCAGCAGAATTTACCTGCTGCGGGGCCAGATGTAAAGTTAAATGCACAAAACCCACCCATAAATTTATCCGGCGTGGTTGATGGTTCCGGGCAGTTTCCAGGTTCATCGGCATGTGTAATTGCCATTTTCTCTCGGTTGCCACCATCACCAACTGTAATATGCACAGGACCACAAGGATCCAAACTGTAATTATACACTCGGTTTGACCTCTCATAGGCATGAACCTGTTGATTGATTATTGCAAAATTGATCATCAGCTCTCCAAGTGCATGTAATTTGTCATTGACAAACAACAATTATATGCTTTTATTCACAAACATAAATTCAAGTTAAATGATGTTCATTGTAAAACTTTGACTTACATGTCCATTGAAGACTATGTCAACTCCATACTTGTATAATAATTCTTCCATTGCGACCCTCATACACTCTGCTTCTCTATAATGTGCAGTATAGGTGCTGTACCAAGGAGGATGCCATGTTGCCACTAACCATGGAGTCACTTTTCTGTCAACTTTATCTAGGTCCTTCTTTAACCACCGGTATTGATCCCCTGTTGAAAAAAAAAAATAGAGGATTCTAATTATTTGGTTTCTAAGGCTAGGCGATTGGCTTTTTTCAGTCCTGTATCTATGGAGTACTGGCGCTTATCAGCTTAACGTTTGTGTCATGACAAGCGTTCCAAAGGAAGTAGCAGGGTGTTTTAATCTCACATCCAATAAAAAGGAGAAGGTCATTGGGCATATAAGTGTTAGCTTTGCGCACCCAATGCCAAAGGGTAATGGCCACATGATAAGTGGAGTTACATATAATGGAAGAGGTAGACAGATGGTATTGGCTTTTGAGCTCACCTGATTTGTTATAGTTGGCATAGCCGCCTAGCATCACAAAATGAATGCCACCTGCATTAAAAGAATAATAGAATGTAGATGATGATCCACTTTCTTCGGATGGAAATGCAAATCGAGCACGGTAAGCTGCAAATGTCTGATTCTCAGCCTGTTCTTCTATCTCATGGTTCCCTTCTATCATCATCATCGGAACTTTAGACACCAGAGCCTGCATAAATCTGGTAGCAAGTACACCACGATGATCTTATCAGGCAAATAATTAATTTGCTTCTAATGTTAAATGAAATGCAAATGTGGCCAACAGCCTGGTGGATTGCTGGACTTCTATTTCCACTGATCCGAATTCAAATTCCAACAACCTTAAATATAAAAAAAAAATGCAAATGTGACAGAAAGTAATTTTATTTGGAAACTGATTGAAACAAAAGAAAGATTCAGATCATAATTAATTCACCTTCCCCAATAATCCCAACGAGGCTGATAGGTTTCATGAATAGGGCTATCAGGAAAGGAGCAGGAGTAGCAATCAGAACCAGTTCCATTGGTAAGATACAAGTTTGCATAGCTTGCATCCCCAAGTAACAGGACAAGATCAGGATGATTTGTCATCAGGTGACCAATTGTTGAAGTTGTATTATAAGTAAGCCCCAGGTCTCCAACCATTCCTATTCTTCCCGGATAATTCCTTGGACCAGAAACTGGCATTGTTCTAAAATAGTAAACATCACTCGTTGCTGGGATGGATGGATCTCCACATTGGTAGTAATATAAGGTGTTAGGTTTCAAACCTGCAAAATTTTCAATTTCATTGGAGATGTAAAACTTTCACAGGTTGGTATTTCACATAAATACAAGTGACATAAATAAAAAAACAAAAATAAAATGGTACAGTTCTTGATTATTTAAACATATTAAATTAAGTGAAAAAAAATAGAAAAGAATTAACATATAGTACATCACTTTCCACTAAAATGGCTAACAATGCAGGATTAAAAACAAACAAGCATAAACAATTCATGAATAGATATTAAGTTTAACAAGTATAAATTTATATGTTTTTTAGTTCACTTATTTTGGTGCACATCTTGAACTCTTGGGGGGATTTTTTTTAATACAATCAAACTAAGCTAGATATTTTTATCATTTTATAAGCTCCTATAATTTGTAGGAAAGTCAACTGAATACAAAGCTAGCTTTATGTAGAAGAGATAATATTCAGACAAAAACCAAAAAAAGAGATAATCATCCTATAGGATAAATACACAAGAAGGTCATAGGTAATCATTTCGAATTTAGTTCAATGATGCATATATGTTATTCAGTCTACGAGTGGGGTTCGAATTTTTGAATCCTCAAATAAAAACAAAAAGTGATTGAGCACCCGGAGAAAACTGGCCAATTGCAGATATAGCAAATATTCAATGGAAAGAAATTGTGAGAAGAAAACAAAGCTGAAGAGAAGAGAAGAGAAGAAAAAATAAATGGTCATGATCATTTACCAGTGAGACGAACGTGATGAATAATTCCAGAGGGTATAGTTTTGGAGGCCTTGGAATTGATAAAGTTGGCTGTAAACTAGGGAATGGCCCACTGCTCGATTTGTCAATGCGAATCGCAACCTGCCATATCTAACAACGCTTCCCACCCTTTTTGGATCCAATTGCTTTACATCATTGCCTATCTGAAATTCCCCTGCAATTTTTTATTTATATAGTGAAACGGGGGCAATGTCAACACTTGTCATCAATTAATGGGAAGCTGAATTCTTAAAAAAAAAATTTTATATTCAATGTTGATAGTATTTGAATTTTGATAATTAAAGAACCAACACTTTTATAAATTTTTAATTTTAACGATCAAATTTTATTTTTTTATAATTTCAAATATAAAAAAATAAAAAAAATTAAAATATCAAAAAAATTTCAAATTTGAAAATGATAACACTTTTATTGATTTAAACTAATATAAATGAATTTATATTTGATACAATAATAATATATGATTTTATACATTATCATTAAATGATAAATTATTATATTATTAATGAGCAAGATTTAAATAATTATAAATCCTAAAACATAAATAATAAAAGTTAATTATAATTTATTTTTAAATACGTCTCAACTTTCAAATCTGTTCGATAATATGTCAACGAATTTTTGTAGTCTAATATAATCTCAAAATTATTTAGGCTTATAAACAATGGAATACTCAAACAATATGCGTAAAAGATTCCTTTTCAAAGTCAAATTTTACAAACTTAAAATGTTATAGTCTCGCGATATGGTCCCTGTCGTTTGTAATATCAGTCTCAAATTAAAATTTTATTTATTTATTATATATCTCACAAAAAATAAAATTATATTAACTTTTTAGAGTTTATAAGATTTGATGCATTATGATTTAACATCTCATTTAGTAATTTTTTTTATAAAAATATTTAAATGAGGGGAGGATAGTCCGTTTCGGGTTGAAGATATGTAATAAGCTTCAACAAAAATTTATATTGTATTTATGTATCATTTATAAAAAAAATTGCTAATAATAAAAATCAAAACCTTATAAGATAAAATAATCAATTTTATCAATTTAATTAATTTCGTTGGCGATAATGAATTGTTAATTTTAATTAAATATTTTATTTAGAGTTATGCTTTAAAAATTGAAAATGTACTATATACTTAGTATATATATATATTAATTTCCAAATGTAAAATTTTGTCTATGCTAATTATGTCACAAATATATATATATATTGTAAATTATGCCTTTGAAACGAAGATTTAAATTTTTTATATTTGGTGTGAATTCAACGCAACTCTTTATGCACTAATTATTGAATAGACAAACACTCTAAAAAAAAGAGTTTATTTTTAATTTAATGAAGAGAAGCCGAAAAGTTTGAATTAATGAAGAGAAGCCAAAAAGAAAAAGGAAGAAAAGACTCTAGAAAAGGCTTCATGAAAATATTCATTTGTCACCGAACTTTTAATTTAATGGTTAAAGATTTTTGAAAAGATAAAAATTTAATTTTAAATCAAAATTTTTTTTATTTATACTAAAATTTTATCTTTTTAATATAAAAAAAAATTCACTCCAAAGGCTGTTTTTTCTTATAATTTTATTGGAAAGAACACTTGTCTTACTTATACTAAAACCTTATTTTCGTGATATAAAAAAAAATGTTCACTCCAAAGGCTGTTCTTTTTATAATTTTATTGGAAAGAACACTTGTCTTTTGAGCCCTAGCCAAGGCATTCATTAACAAGTCTTGTCAAACTCATGCGTGGAAGCAAAGAAAATCAAATGAAAAGCTGAAGAGATGGTAAAGAGCTAGAGAGAGGAGACCTGTAACCCAGCCAAGGCATTCATTAACAAGTCTTGTCAAACTCATGCGTGGAAGCAAAGAAAATCAAATGAAAAGCTGAGAAAATCAAATGAAAAGCTGAAGAGATGGTAAAGAGCTAGAGAGAGGAGACCTGTAACCCAAGATATCCAGACTGAGTCATGGTTTGTAGAAAGAGAGAGTGAGATTTGCTCAGGCTTCCAACCCTTAACAGTCCTTTGAACTCGAGGATCGGTGTCAGGCAAGTCTATGGCATGCCCACGAAAACTCTTATCAAGATCCACTGTCACAGGCTTGAAAGGTCCATCAAGTGTAGTTGGAATAGCCCATATACTTGTGCTTATTACCGCAACTGAAACAAATACTACCGCAATATACAAAGAAACTGAAACTGACCCCATATCTCGATTAAGCTTTCATGCCAGGCTAAGATTTGATGGAGAATTAGAAATATAACAGGAAAAGAACAAGCATATATATAGCAGAACTAAAGCCTTGATGGCCTGTAGCTGAAGCTGAACTGTTTATATGGAAAACACACAAGACAGTTGAAAAGGAAGGAAAATAAGGATGTTGAATAGGAAAGCATTTGTTTGTTGAGTGAAGGAAGATGTATATTTGGAGAAAGAGTGATTTTAGTAGGCTTTTATAATGAAACTGATCACTATTTGTCTATCAAAAAAGGGAAATGAAATGGGTTTTCTTTTGAAGCTATATATATAGGTAGTTATACTGCAAAATTCTCGTTCCACTTCATATGTAATTTTGTATGAACAGGCCATTAACTTGTTTCTTTTATTAGTTTGTTTATTGCATTTCGTCTTTTCCTTTAAAGTGTTACAACTTGTTAACAACTCACTGGCTTGCCTTTGAATGCTCCTTTGATCAGAACTTCAAGTCTTTTGATCCTGATTTTGGCATATTCCTTTGAATTCTCAAGTGATCACACCTGTAGTTTTTTTTTTTTTTTTAATTATTTTGGCAACAATCTAATTTAGGAGCAATGCCGTATCCTTTCAAATGCTTCCATATTTACTAAAAGATGTACCTATTTTTTACAAAAGAAATCCAATTCTTCTTTTACTTATTTTTAGTGATTTCTTATAAAAAAAAAATCGAAATCTTCTTTTACTTATTTTAAGTGATGGATTCAAATTTTTTTAAGGGATCCATTTATGATATATATATATATATAATTATTGATGGAGTTTATGAAAAATGTGTTTACTTATTTCATTGCGTATGTCGATACCATCGACATTGTTTTTGATAGGCAAAAGGTTCCAAATTTATTAAACATTTAAGTAAGAAAAAGTATAATTAAATCAACAATCATTCATATAAAATATAATAATTTAGTGTGATTTAATATTTAATTTTCTTACCTCTACAAATGAAAAAAAAAATTCATTAATTATAATAAATTACAAATACAATTATTCAATTACTTATAATTAATATCCACGAATCTTCTTATTATTTTTTAAATAAAATATTTTCAACCCAAATAATTATACATACATATCCAATTCTACAAACAAACATACATATATTGCTATTTTTAATCTTTTATAGTCTTATGAATGTCTCTGTAATAAAATTCTATAATTTTATTATTATTTTTTATATTTAATCTTGTAGAAATCTTATTATTTATAAACCTGTTAACTTGTTTATTAAAAAAAAATTTCCTCTTAAATTTTATTTTACAAATCTTTTTTTCATCAAACAGTATTTAATCAATCTCAATAAAACTATAATCAAATTTTTTATAAAATTTGAATTACTATTCCAACAATTTCATCAAAATATCAAAAAGGTACAATTAATTGTTTGCACGTGTGTATAAGCATAGTGCTCTGTTTTGCACCCTGTTTTCCTCAGTTAAATCTTTTGGCAAAACCACAAGGTCAATTGTTTTGCGGCAAAGTAATAAACCTCTCGAACAATCGTTTAGCAGTTTCAAATAAAAATCCAAATCATTCCAGCTTAACAAAAAAATTAAAAAAAATTAGTGCATTTACAATCTTGTCGTCATGATTTTACTTCATGACTGTATTATCATAAGATAATAATATAGGGTATATGTATCAATTATTTGTTTTAAAGATTATATAATATCTCCTTCCAAAAAACAATTATATAACGTTGACATATAAATATTTTGTTCAAAGATATATATATATATATATATTATTTGATACATTGATAATAAAATCTAAAATATTAGGTTATTATCTTTCTTATCTGCATTATATTTTTATTATTATTATTATTATAAGATACATGGTTAGGACAATTTCTTCCATTTTTCAAATTCCTATTTTTTTCCTGGTTACATAAAATTCAAAACTGTTTGTTTCGGACCAGGCTCGATCTTTGTCCAATGGGTTCATTTACTTGCAACTCAATAATCTAGTATTTGCATAATAATTTTAAGGATCTCACATTAATTGTCGGTAAAAAAATTATTCGATACACCGATAATAAAAGTTTTTAACTTTACAAATAATATTAAGATGATAATATATGTACTCTTTTTATTTTAAATTAATTTTTTAAATATACTATATATATGTATCATCATTTTAATTTAATTTGTAAAATTAAAAATTTGTCAGCATATTAGATAATTTTTTTTATTATTATAGTTAAATTTTTTATTTGATATCTAAAGTTTAAAAATTTATAATTGAGTACTTAACTTAATAACTGAGCTCCTCACCATTACTTTGTACATCGAGACTAACACCGTTAATCAGATAAATGATTTGCCTAAAAACAAGCCACAAAAGCATGACACGTCAATATGTGACATATTATAACATCTTATTGGATGTTTTAGACATGTTACTCTTTTGACTATGTGTATCTTGTATGCAAACTGATAGGAATAAAAGCCAAGTTTGATTATTTAATTACGACTTTTTAAACTTTAAGTACTAAATTTAGAATTTAACTATAATGTAGGCATCATATGTGTAATTAAATTTGTTTATGGATTTGGATTACTTGCCTAATCTTGTGAGTCAATCCCTATCGAGTTGGGCCATAGCTTTAATTTCAAGTCTCAGTTGGGCCTGCAAATATAAATGAATACCTCTATTCCGTGTAAATCCTAAATTTTGTTAACTTCTTGAATGTGCAGGGCCCAAAGGCCCAAATATAGGGCTTCGTCGTCTTAAGAATTATATACGACGAAATTTTTTTTAAAAACTTTATACATTTATAACTCTATTTTAATAAATTTAAGGAATGGAAAGATAAGGAAAAAATCGAAAAAAAATAATTTTTTATCTTAAAATTATTAAAATTAATAATTAAAAGATCATATAAAATTAAAAATTTTATATTATATAACTTGATCATTCTTTTATGATATCCATATCTATATATATATATATATATATATATATATATATATATATATATATGATAAAGCTCAAGAGCTAAAACATAAGTCCATCTAGTAAATTCCATAATCATTTTTCTCGTTATTTTTCTACCCTTTTCTCGGAAAGTAGGGGAATTCCTGAAAACAAACAAAACAAAAGAAAGAAAAAAAAAAAACCCCAAAAAGAAAGGAAAAGAAATTAGCCGTTTTTCTTTTGGATCAATCCGAGATCTGCTAAAGTTTTCCTCAAGAAACTTTCCCGGTTGATCCTCACACTAAAAAAGAAAAAAAAACCATCATATTTTTTTTTTAATTTTCAAAATTTGAGTAATTTTGAGAAGAGAGAAACGAGGAAAATGAATATATTCAGATTAGCAGGGGACATGACCCATTTGTTAAGTGTTGTTGTTTTACTGCTCAAGATCCACACCATCAAATCTTGCGCTGGTACGTCCATTTTCTAGTATTTATTTTCTTCTGGGTTCGTTTCATTTTATTTTTATTTTTTATTATTTCAATAATTTACTGCTTAGAATAAAAATTTTTTTAATTTTTTGGTTACATTGAATGTGGGTTTTTGTTAATTTATTGTTTTGTTTGAGTTGTTGTACAGTTTATTGCATGCCCAAATTGGAATCATGTGAAATCTGGAAGTGTAGGTTAATAAAAAAAAATGTGACATTTGAATGTGCATGTATAAACTATGTATTCATGTAATTTTCGGAATGGGTTTTTATTAATTTGAATGTGCTTGTATGTATTTTTGAAGCTTAGAAGCAAGGAGGTGTGATCAGTTAGGACTTTATGTATAGCTTCTATTAAAGTTTAGTAAGTTGCTGGATTTAGTGACAATATTGAGATCAAGGGGTTTGTATTAGTTGGATTTAGGGGTTCATGGTTTGTTAATTTGGAGCTCCCATCTCGCGAAATGGCATCTTATTTTTGCTAATTTTCCTTCTATTTGTAGCAATAAATCTGTAGGCATTTGAAATTTGCAATATGAGTATTCTTCTGGGAAGGAGATTTTATGGAAATAAAAGGATGATTTTTTTATGTAGGATTATAATGTAGTTTAGTTATTTGTATGTCTTGCTGGCCTATGATTTGAAGAAAAACATGATAAACTCTGTATATGGTGAGGGCCTAAAACTCTAGCTGTAGCTGAGGTAGTGTTTGGTATGCTCTCACCCTTTGGGGTAGCAATGCCACCTAACTAAGAGTTGCTTGATCAAGTTGATTATTTCTGTTTTGCGCAACTAGCTTATTGGAAAATTTTATTTTTCTGTTTTTCTTTCCTTTTAAAATGTTACTGTGGGGTGGGATGACTGAACGATTCATGGGTAGCTAAAGCCATTTAACTCATTGGAAGTTGAGGCAGTCGTTATGAGAAGTTAGAGATGTTTTCAATTGAGGATGTAGCGAGCAAAAGCTTGCTAAGATTGATTGACCATATGCATACATGATCGAGGTTCTATCACATTATGATAGAGTATTTGGAGCTTTTTCTTCATAAGTTACATATGCATACATATGCTTATATAGCATCTCATCCATGATTACTATTATGGGAAAAAAAACCATATCATGTAATTAAACTTAAAATGTAGGAATCCTAGATCCTTGTTTTCATTCATAGGCATGCTACAGCATTTGGTCTTGTCTCTTTCTATTCTATCCTGTGTTTATGTTACTCCATTATGCCATTGTCTCTCTGCATTCTACATCCAGTTCTGTCTCACACTCCCTGTCATGTCTTATAAGCTGTTTTCTGGCTCCGAATCTTTTATCTATGATATGAAATCCTATAATTTTTTGCAGGCATTTCCCTGAAGACTCAGGAACTCTATGCCATTGTCTTTGCTACTCGCTACTTGGACATATTCACTAGTTACATTTCGCTTTATAACACGATCATGAAGCTAATATTCCTGGGGAGCTCTTTCTCAATCGTATGGTACATGCGATATCACAAGATAGTTCGTAGATCTTATGATAAGGACCAGGATACATTTCGCCATTATTTCCTTATTCTGCCTTGGCTAATTCTTGCCCTTCTTATAAATGAAAAGTTCACCTTCAGCGAGGTATCAACATGTTTCTTTCTATTTCTTGGAATAAAACAGTGGGTTTTATTTCCATGTAGTCATTACAATCATGATTCTGTATGTTAAATTTATTCCGGTTACCTTAGAAGCTATGTTACATTGTTTATGTGTTTATATTAATTATTTGTTCAGAAGTTATCAGGTTCTATTATCTTTCAGACGATATACCTTCATAGATTGATATTTGCCTGGAAAATTTGGTTGAGCAGGTCATGTGGACTTTTTCCTTATATTTGGAAGCTGTTGCCATCCTTCCTCAGCTTGTATTGTTGCAAAGGACTAGAAATATTGACAACTTGACTGGACAATATGTGTTTCTCCTTGGGTAAACTTCCACTCTATAAAACCTAATTTTCTAGTTTGCCATAATTTTGTTACGTTGCATTAAGGACCCTTACTTCCTGGCTTTCATTTCCATATATTGTTGCCTCCTTTCATGTTAATTTGGAGGGAAAGAAAAAGAGAGAAAATCTCTAAACATAGTTGACACCAATTTTCTTTTCGAGGAAAAGTCGATATGATTTTATGTAGGACCAAAGTTTTTGTTTTTAAATGTGATCAACTACTTTGCTAGTGTGTACAACTTTTTTTCTTCTATTACATTTGTTTTATGCTATCATGGTGCTTTTATTCTTTGTACGCCGTTTCCTGTCTATCTATACATCCTACTACCATAAGTTAGGAGATGAGGCAAGATTAAACCACTATAAGATTTCTCGGAACTGCGTTAAGTTGTTAAGAAAGGCAAACCAAAAGTGAGGAGCTCCCAATATTTTGTAGAAGATTGATTTGATTTTGACCTACTGGTGCACTAAGAAAGAAAGGGAGTAAAGAAGAATTCAAGAAAGCAGTTTGTTCAACATCTTGAATTGTAAAAGAGAAGTCTCATGGAATTGCTTAAACTAAAATGGCTATTATCTGTAACCATAGGCTTCATTTAAGTATAGGAGAAGTGCAAAAAGAGTTGAGTAGAATACATATTGTTGGGGCTATCACAAATTAGGCTTGCATAAGAGTATGCATGTCATCAAATATCAGGAACAATATTGATCTCAAAATTTATAACCGTGTAGCATTTACTACTGTTTTCTGTTCCCTTTTTTTTTTGGTTGGAGAAGAGGGGAGGGGGGGTAACCAGCATGTACAAACTTTTGCACTCAACATTTGACAACTTCTTGCAATATATCTTTGCCCCACCAGTTAACCAAACTACCTTTGGTTTCATCCCTTTTCACAACCATGGTATATGGTGAGTTGAAAGATACTTTAAACATCAAGACAATATTGCAGAATGACTCCCTTGGAGGATTTTCATCTTGCCTCCATTTAGCACCATGATATGTATGCATTTTTTTTGTCTTTATAAGTCACTAACATCTTAATGTTTAATTCTTGGTTTGGGGCTAATATAATTCCTTTTGTTGCAGTGCATACCGAGCATTCTACATATTGAACTGGATTTATCGGTACTTTACTGAAGAGCACTTTGTCCACTGGATAAGTATGTTTCTTCTCTCTTTCTCTTTCTCTTTCTCTTGCTCTCTGTCTCCCCTCCTCTCTCACCACATGTCAGTGCCCATATGGCCATGGGTGTATAAAGGATGTCTATGCCAATGTATCTCTGTGCATTGCATTTGGGATATTTTATGTTAGACATGTATCTTATTTCTTACACCTTGTTTATATGATTGCTCTCTTTCAGCTTGGATTTCAGGGCTTGTCCAGACATTGCTTTATGCTGATTTCTTCTACTATTACTTCCAGAGGTAAGTACCTCAATCACTTTGAAAAGCACCTCATACTTAGGTTAATGATTGTAATAAATCCAATTTTCTATGCCTGCAGCTGGAAGAACAATGTAAAGCTCCAATTACCAGCTTGAGA